GTTGGGCTGCCATTAACCAGAATTGATACAAGGTTTGTTCTCAGACATTCCATGATCCAGTTCCTCCAGATTACACAAAATCCCATCCGTTGCATCATATAGTCGAGGAATTCCCAGCTGACCTTATCATACGCCTTTTCAAAGTCGATCTTGAACAAGAATGTCTCCTTCCTCTTCTTCTTTACATCATCAATCACCTCATTTGCTACCACTACTCCATCCATTAGTTGCCTTCCTCTAATAAATGCCATCTGTTGTTCACCGACAATCTCATCAAGGACCACCTTTAACCTGTTAGCAAGAAGCTTTGCAAGGATTTTATACATTACACCAATGAGGGAGATGGGTCTATATTCCTCTATCTTCTGTGGGCTATCCACTTTCGGCACAAGGACAATGAAAGATGTGTTAAGTCCTCTAACCAGCTTACCATTTTTATGGAATTCATGCAAGAATCTGATTACATCTACCCTTATTAGCTCCCACACATTCTTGACAAAGCCGAAATTGAATCCATCTGGTCCAGGCGCCTTTGAACTATCACACTCCCGCACCGCTGCATCTATCTCTTCCTCACTGAAAGCTCCAACCAGATGGTCATTTTCTAACTGTGAAATCTGCTTGAAGCTCACCCCTTCTAGCTTTGGTCTGTCCCACTGTTCTTCTTTGAATATGTCTTCAAAAAAGGAAGCAATCTCCTCCTTCATTCTGCTGGCACACAGAATTTGTGTTCCTTTGATTTGTATAGAAGTCATCTCATTTCTTCTCCATCTCCCCTTGATGCACTTGTGAAAGAAACTTGTGTTGGCGTCGCCGAGGTTCAACCATGCCTTTCTAGATTTCTGCTGCAGCATACTTTCCTTGCTCTTCATGCTTTCCCATAGAAGTAGGAAATCCTCTCTTCTTTTTATGATTTCTTCCTCCAACAGCTGTACCTCTTCCCCCTTCTTATCAATTTGTGCTATCTCTGTAGTAGCCTTGTCTATTTTGGCATCAATAACTGGGAGAAGTGTTTTGCTCCACCTTTTCAAAGCTTCCTTTGTCAATTTCAGCTTTTCCTTAAGTTGAAACCCTGCCCATCCTTGAATGTTTGCCGACCCCCACACCTCTTTAACCAACTCCATGCAACCTTCTTGCTGAAACCATGCATTGAAAAACTTAAATGGCTTAGGCCCCCAGTCAATATGCTTATGTTTGAGTAGGATGGGGCAATGATCCGACACTGTTCTACTAAGGCCCCATTGTCTGGCTTCACTCCACTTTGTCAACCACCCTTCCGATAGTAGAAATCTGTCTATTCTGCTCATACTGTTCCCATTAGACTGGTACCAGGTGAATTTTCTACCCACAAGAGGAATATCCACCAATTCTGTTTCTTGTATAAAGTTATTAAACTCTCTCATCTCAATTGTAACTCCTCTACTACCCTTTTTCTCCTCTTCATTCCTAACTGCATTAAAATCCCCTGCAATACACCAGTAGCCTTGTCTATCTAATATCAAATTTTTCAGCTCTGCCCATAAAACTCTCTTCCCTGATAACTGGCACGGGGAGTACACATTTAGAATGAAAACAACAACCCCCTCAGGACCCCATACCCCTTCTATTCCTATAAAATTCTCACCCTCTATTACTCTAGACATTGTGAGAGATTTAGAATTCCATACACAGAGTATACCTCCAGACAACCCACATGCATCCTTTGCAACCCAACCGAAGTCTTCTGTGCCCCACACCATTTTACATGTTTTTCTATCTATCCCTGTCACCTTCGTTTCTTGTAAAGCCAAAAAATCAATTTTTTCTTTACTCACTAAATCCCTTAACTGTCTCCTCTTACCAGCACCACCCAAACCTCTAATGTTAAAAGACAATATATTCATAATTCTGTTTCACTAACCTTCTGTTTCTTCTTCGGATCTTTTGAGCAGTCCGCTTCCTTTGCTCTTCTATCACGCACCTCCATTTCATCAAGCTTGTTGATGATTTGTTCCTCATTTTCAGCCACAACCCCAATTTTCCTAGCAAAATCCCACAGCTCCTCTGCAATTCTGCGACTTGGGTGTTCCTTCAACAATCTATTTCGATTCTGTATACCACTATCTCCCACCGAACCCCCTGCAACTTCATTGTTCATGCCCGGCTGAAACTTTGGGATATCTTCTCGCCATGCTTTCTTCTCTTTTACTGCAGATCTATTCTTCTCTCTCTGCATCAAAATTCGTTGAAGACTTGCTTTTTGATACACAGCTTTGCACGACTTTGCTCTCTTCTTTTTTCTTTTTTTTCGATCTTTGTTACTTGCAGCCATCCACCCTTTTTCACTTTCTTCCTCACTTTGCAAATCTGCCCAGAACTCTCTATTGTTTCCCAGCGACTTCCCTTTTTTCTCTTGCCTCTGCTGCTGTTGCTCACGCTGCGGAACAGATTCTTGCTCAATTCTGGACTCATTTTCCATACTTTTGGTTGTATCATTCAACTGGTTAGCCCATATCTGCCCTCCCACTTGTTGTTCATTGTCACGGGCTTGGCATGTGGCCTCTGAGTTGGGCTTTTGCTGTAGGCCCAAGTTATTGCCAGCTGAACTCTCGATAGGGTCTGTAGACAGCTCATTTTGTGGAGTATTTTCAAATAAACCAGCCTCAACTCTCCCTCCTAAATCACTGGCTTCCGTAGACCTGTCAAAACTGTCAGCTACTACTTCCACTGATTGTTCTTCACCCAGCCGGCTAGAGGGGAAGCTATCCACCAGCCTGCGTCCTTTCACATCACCCCCTTCTTCTTCAAATTCAAATTCCACCTCGTTTCTCGGATTGGCAGTCGACCGTTTGTCAATTTGGCTGAAATCC